GACTTATTTTACGGGTTCCGAAAGCAACGTTAGACATTCTGGGGGCGCTGAATGTGAAAACTGGTCAGTGTTCATGATGACAGGAACTATTGATCCCTTAGATGTTGAATATTCTCTTCAGTTTTCTTTGCTGAGGGTCTTGGATAAATACATTGAGAACATCCTCCAACAAACGAGCCCGTGCTGTTCTTCGCTGTAGCAAGCTGAGGCCAGCTTGAACGATTCCATGAAGTGTTTTTGTTCACATCGATCGATCGATATATCCACGCTGTATTGATCTGTTGTATACATTGTAGCCGAGCCAGGATTTCGACGTCGCACTTGAAGATCAAGAAGTCACTTTGGCTGCATTTAACATTTCCTGGCATGCAGCCATCGTCAGCCATCAACACCTTCCCATGATGTGTGATCTCCTGAGGTTTAACTTGGACGTGGTGTGCGTGGGGTCTGGGGGGGGGGGGTCCTTGCGAACAAAGACTCTTATATTAACGGCTTTTGTTTCAAATGCTGTTGGCGGAGTAGGGTATAAATTGGCCACCGTCCGCGATCTCATGCCTTTTCCCCGGGGTCGGCGGCAGGGGGCGGAGCCCTTACAATATATACTGGTTACATACCTTCAAAACATTTCATAAGACAACCTCTGGCCCATTCGATTCAAATCCATTCATTCCTATGGAACTCTAATGAAACAGTTGCAGTTGCATCAAAACCATGTAGGCAATTCATCCAGTCCATCGATCGATCTTGACCAGCTAGGCCTGAGTAGACCGTGGAGAAGGTCGTGAGGAAGAGGAAGAACACCTCATGACCGAGCCGTTTGGACCTGGAATTTCAGTGGATGACTGGATCTCGTTTATCGGAAAGTTGTCCTTCTATCTCTTTTGTGAAACCAACATATTTCGTACAGAACAAAGCTCAGTGATCGGGTGGCTCTCTCACCCAGCAGTGGACAAGCATGGGAAGACAATGAACAAAGTTACTAACAAACCAAGTCTGAGATAGAAGAACTAGCCAAAAACCTGAACCAGCACCAAAAACTATTTTACTTCGAGTGATCCCCACCATGGCATTATATTCTGCTGCTGATAGCCGACGGCATGTTGTTTCAGCATCCCCAAGAACGTGTCTATTCTTGCATATATATATATATCCATGTATACATACATATATACATATACATATTGTTATTGTTTATATATGTATTATTAGTTTTATATATTGGCACTCCGTCTGGCATATTTTTGCATATAGACTGGCTTTGTGTGGCATCTAACCAGGTATTCTAGCTGGCATAAAATCCCGCATTCTATCTGGCATGTTTTCTGATATATTTTTCTTGTATTAACCCTGACATTATTTTCCATCTGGCAAATTATCTGCAATGTATAAATATATATATATTTGTCATATATTGTACCATTCTATCTGTCTGGCATAAACACAGGCATTTCTTTCTATCTAGTTCAGGTCCGGTGGTGCCCTGCACTCCGGAGCTCGCAGCGAAGGAAGGCGGTGGAGTTGACAACTGTCATAAAATCTAACAACCCTCACCTGGCAAAAAAAAAATCACATAGAGCCCTGAGTTGATCGGTAGAGCCAAGTGGAGTTTGTTCGACTTTGTTCAGGATACCTGGCCAAGGGAACCCGTGTCTAAACCAAAGACTTAAGTTGATGTCTCTGGCACTGTAGACTGTGGACTCTTCTGTGACCGGTCTTCCCCCAGTCATCCGTACGATCAGCTGAGAAACGCCATACGATCCACTGAAGTGGGCCTTGATCTCCCCATGTTGCTCGATCGCCTTGACCTTCTTGGCGTGTGCCACTTTGGCGATCACCAAGAGCATGGAGAAGTAGACCCCCACCAAGACGTACCTGGCTTTCGGATGGGTTCCTTCGAAGTTGAAGGGATGGGACCTGTTCCTTGGGTTCAGACGCTCCATTCTGGGCCCAACGAGGTTCCGATCAACCGACCCAACGATTTTGAACAGTGGGTTCGTTGGCTCAGCTGCGAGGTAAATCGTTCTCATGAGGATCCACAGACCTTAGGATTGGATCACAACTGTTCTCATTCGTCCGACAGGCTTGGTCTTCAGACAGGGATCACCTGCCCTTGCCGGCCCTTTGGAGATGCAGCTTCATTCTCTGGATCGTCAGGCATTGGGAGAAAAGCGTAGCCCTGAAGATCTTGCAGCTAAGAGCTCTGACCCACATGAGGATTCTGAGGGATGAAAAACATCTGCTTAGATCTGCTTACAGGCTTAGAATATCTTGCAGTATGATCTTTTCTGTCCACCATGACTCACTATGACCATTTGATCCCATGTGCCCAATGTCAAGTCAGATCATCCCTCACACGAGAGAGGAAGTCAAAGCTTGCAGTTGCACCGTCCAAGGTACAGCAAGACATTTGCGCTCTGACTTTCATCTTCCGCTCTCGCAACCACCGCCATGGCTGCTTCAGTCCAGCCGATGCAGCTGCAGTTCAGCCGATACATGTCGGAATGTCCTTCATTGACTGAATAGGAATCCAATGCGTTTGCTGGAACTCCTCACTTGGGGTTGTGTCACTGCCCTCTGGTCACTCGAAGAAAGGGAGAGAGAGCGCAAACACAAGTGGAGACAAATAGAGAAACAGTTTTCACCAATTTCACCAAATTTCCTGCCGCAGCAGAGAGGCCCCAAAAAAGCCGAGCTGTTCTTTCGGGACACGCTTTCGGGACACGGAGTGTTGATTCACTCACAAAACATCATCAACATTTGTGAATGTCAGGGTGTTCAACCAGCTGTTCAAAAGGCATTACCAACATTAAGTAAATGTCTAACATGGAGTGTTTCTTCCGTGTCCATTTTGCTCCGAACACCGTGTTGTTTCGGATGTCGGCCACACACCTTGTGAACAAACGGGTGTTTTGGCCGACATGGCAAAGGGTAGAAGTAGCAAGTGGATAACTAGGTTGGAGGCCATCGCAAAAACACCCACTGTACCACGTCAGATGTCGCAGTGGGGCAGCGGTCACCGTCAAAAACCCAGCCTGCAGCGCCAGAAGCAGATCGTCCACCATCTGCGCATCCAATTCGTCACCCAAATCCACCTGCAAATGGTGGGTGTGGTATGCTGTGGTCTGATGATGATCAGGATGGGCCAGGAAGGGACCTGATAGCCTAGCTTCACCTGGTCCTCCACGTAGGTGCTGTCACCGACGGCCCCCACAAGGGATCCAGGGTACAGAGTCTTACTTCTAGGCTCGGCACCGCAGCATCTGCGCTTCTCTCTTTTTAACAAGGCCAGTGGTCCACCTGCCCTACATCTCTGTCATTGCGTTGCATGTCACATCATGTCACCCCAGCACATGAATTGCCTTTCTATCCTCGCCAGGAGGATGATGACTATTCTAACGACTGTCAGCAAGTTACTGTGACATTGCCAATTCATCCTTCTTGGAAAGCTTCAGCATTCCCTCAGCTGAGCACAATTAGGAAAGGTGCTCCTCCAAAATTAATGCATGCAAACACAAAGCCAACTTAACACAAACCCTGCCTGTTTAGAAACTATACTGTAAATGAAACGAATACCAAGTTGTGCTATCTACTGCCGTAGTTCTGAACTGTAAACATCCAATCCCTCCAGTACAGAGCAGCCTCCGGAACCCCCTGAGTTTCTTGTCTGGAGGTCATTCGAGGCCATTGCCTCTCTACCCACCCTATAGCTGGAAACTACACTCTTGCCTCAAATTCCCAGTCCGACCGTCCGACTCTTCAGTAAGTCTTGTCGTTATTCTCCAGTCACAAGCCACCATCGCAGTCAAACTCCTATATAATCCAAACCCGGCCAGGCCTGGCTGTAGCCCTAAAGACCCAACCAATCCCAATCACCTCAACCACGCGCGTCATGCCGCGTCAGCCCGCGTCGTCAACCTCACGTGGTCGCCTCGCTCCGTGGTCGCATCGCACCTGGACCCGATGGTGCGCGGGATGGTGGGGATCCTGAAAGTCGTGCAGCCGCAGCTCTTGCCTCGGTGAGACGAGGGTCGACCTGAAGGGGGGTGGAGACCTGACCTTCCTGAGAGCCGTCGACGGTGAGCCGTCTAAGCGGTGGCATTAGGTCGACAGACTGGAAACAGCGATTTCTGATTGTGACGGTCACCATCGACCTATTGAAGCGACTTGAGGGTAGTATACGGGTCGCTGTTCGACCTGCAAGAGGCTTGTGGATGTTCGAGCGTCACCAGCTGGCGTACAAACTGCAAACAGTAGGATATTCTCAAATCTAAATGGTAGGATTTGATCCATGAGCTGTATGGCTGAAGTACCTCACTTCGTTGGATGCTGGAGATCCCTGGCCTCTCACCAAGATGGGCAGGAAATAGCAGGAAGACTGTTCAAGCTGCAATCTTTTGTAAGCCAAAATTACAGCATCTGTGATCCCAAGGTCACCTTTCTCTCTCTCTCTCGAGCACCATGCCATACCCATTTGTGGTCACCCTCCAAGGTCCCGACTTCTTCGTCACCTGAAGTGCGCATGAAGGTGGTATGGGGTCAAACAAACGTTTCACCACACTCCATGTTCGACCAACAGAATGTGTTTTGCGAACGGACCTGGCTTGATCTCTTCCGTTGTAGCGAGTCATGACTGCAAAATGGGCCCAAAGGCATCACAAATTGACAAAAGCTGCATGCAAAAGGTTTGTGTTCCTTTAAATTTTGCCTAGTCTATTGATGAGAAACACACCCCAACGAGCCACATCTTCCACAAAGAGATCCAGCTGAAGGCTATTCCACCCGATCAGCTCGAAGGACTCCAACTTCTCCTGGCGAGATGAACCACAGCGCTGAAGTTTTGCGCCGCCACCTGTCTCCATGGCTGCAGTTTGCGAAATTGAAAAACAGGAAACGAACACACGGGAAAGGGGATGAAAAAGCGAAAACAGAAAGCAATTACACCTGGGGCGGCCATGATTGCACTGGTTGCTAAAGCATGTCCTTTTTTTGATTGCAAACCTGTCAGATTACCTGGAATTGTGGAGTGCTCAACGGAAACGCGGTCAAAGAACGGTGCGAAGTTCCTTCCAAATCTTTCCTGTAGAAAACATGGTAAACCGGTGAAACCGCAATGCGAACAACAGCCCTCCACCCACTTCATCCAGCACCAAGCCCTCCTCCTTGAGCCAGTTTAATGCTGTCATAAGCAAGGGCGATCCGAGCTCCAAGCGAAGCGTCGGCATGGCAGCTAGGTGGCTTGGATCGATGTTCACGGGGACCTCGTCCCATTGGTTCCACTTAGCAGCTACGCCATGATCATCCGGAACAGTGGGTTCGTTTCGAGAGTTTGTTGCGTGCAATAACAACTAAGCCCAACCTGGACCTATAGTCCAGCACTCCAAAGAACACTCTGTCCATCACTGCTCTTCTGTGAGCCTGGGAGCTGTGCCAAGACATCTACAAACCAGGTTTTTCTCCCATCACCTAGACCTATCCCCTTGGAATCACTGAGTTGTCTGCTTTCGGTCTTTTTGCTTCATCTCAGGTGGCTTCTTCTCGACTTCCATTAGTTCTGGTCTCATCGTGCCCGCAGACTGAGCCCAAGAGCAGCTTCAGTGACCCAACTGTTGGGGGATGATATGGGATGATATCCGGATATCCCTATCAATTCGGATCACCCATCACCCCCTGGTAGTACAAACAACCATCAGTACCATCAGTCGACCCAGTGGTGGGAGCTTCTCTGTTCCAAGACGTGTACAACCTGAGCAGGTGAACCGTTCTGCAATACATGCTAAATCACATTCTGACAAACATTGTTCATCCGTGCATTCAACATTAATGTCCTGTCAGCACAGTGGTTGAAAACATGTTCCCGAACTTGAACTGATCAAAGAAGCACATGCACGTGCTCTCCTGGAGAAATATTCCCGTTCGAGTTCGAGTGGTTAAATGTTTTATAATGTGCTATAGTATGTTTTAATGAACAACACTGACAACACCCCCGAAAACCCCAATTTGATGGTGGTGACACATGTGACACATCACTCAGGGTACCCACTGAAATGGAAATTCGACCACATCAGTGGTGTTTTCACCTATCAATCTCATGGTACTCTGGATGCTTCCCAAATAACGAAGTAAAATCAACCCCCGTACTCCAGGCGCACTGACACCACCCGCGACCCGCGACCCTGCTGACCTGATCGATGGCATGGTAGTAGTCCTAAGGAGGCGGGACGGTTTTGGCACAAAGAACTCTGGGAAGGCCTACAAAAGTGCCGGTTCTAATTTTAGTATCTTCTAAACGGAACGAGACTCCCTCAGGCCCACAAAGACTAGCCTTTTTGGGCGCGGTTGCTGAAATGACTGAAGGTCTCAGCCCGCTATTTACCTCATTCGGTTTTTGGGACTCAAAACAGGGCTGCCAAATGTGCTGCCGGATTCGATGAGATCCATCTTAGGCTTGGTCTCAACGTCGCGGCCGAAGAGGGAACTCCCAAAACAGCACCACCCAGCCCTGCTACCCTCCGCTCAGCGGCGTATTCAGCGACTCTGGCTTGCTTGCTCAGGATGGTCGCCTGCAGAAGCACGCTGGTGGGTTCAAGCAACCCGTTCATACAAAAATTTTGGTAATTATTCATCATCGCAAACTGCATGGGTCTGTCTGAAGAGTAAGGGGAAGCATCTGCTAGTACAAGCCATCTGATTCGAGCTGTTGCGCCAAGCGTCACGGTGAATGGTTTAAGAATCGCCCAAAAGCACGACCTTCACAGTGGTTCCAGGTGTAGACCATAGACGTTTCTCTCTTCACACTGAAGTGTGGTTTGAGATGAATCTTAATCTTTGGAAAATCTTGGTTTTAATTTAATGCCCTATCGCTGGGATTAATCTCAACATACCTCAACCATCAAACCACCGCTAACCATCACCGCCGCTCCCAGAGAGCCCCACGTTTTCCATCCAGCGCCTACAGGGCCTACAGCCACACTCGCGTGGGCGGTGCCTGCTGCGCCAACTTGAGTCTCTCCGGCGTCTTCATGGACACGGCCTGCAGGCAGTCCTGCCAGTCGAAGTCGGGCGGATGGATGCAGAGGGCGCGCGGGGGATCCATGAAGATCAAATCAGTCCACGCAGCAAAGCTGCAAAGCTGCTCTGTGTAGAGAAGAACGCCCAAAGCCAGGCTGGGAGCATTGGACATCGAAACAAAACAACATGAACTTACTAGTTAGGCTACAAGGCAGGAACTTTGGACCAACAGGCGATGCCCTTCGCCACATTTCCAGGATCTATAATTACCATGCACTGCACTGATGTTTTCTTTGCGCAGCTAGCACAGTCTCCCTCTACATAAGTCTACGATCTTCAACGCACCTGTGAAGTGCTTTCGGCTTCCACGCAGCGCGATCCATATCTGGGCAGCGCAACATGTCACTGACATTTGGTGTCTAAATCCGGAACCCCCAAACGAGACGAGGCATCCCCAAGTTGACTACCAAAGGACGTACGTGGGGTTTGATCTAGAATCTAGATCATTGGGAGGCGCAAGTCCCAGTACTGCTGCCAAACAGTGTGTCTTCAGTTGAAAAATAATCAAGATCCAAGAGCGGGGCTACGCCACCGAGCAAAAAGAACACCGCATGCACCTGGCGATGACCGAGAGATGGGCATCCCGGCCTTCTGGCCGACTTGTCATGGGCTTTCTTTTTGTCCTGCCAAGGGATGACCAGGAGCTTGCTTCGACAGCCCCGACTCTCACCACGAGCTTGCTAGCTTCGACTCGAAAAAAGCGACAGATCTGACCACGGACTAGGTGAGGAAAACCGGGTCCATCTTTGAATGGGCTCTTCTAGTGCGTGGTCAGATCCGAATGGACTCTTTAAATGGGTTCTTGCATGTTCTCGAAGACCAACTGACAGCAGGGCCACAACTGAAACGGGAAGATGATGCCGCTGGAAGTCCACACTGGTGAGGCACGGGGGGCTCGGTTTTCCCTGACAGTGATGGTCAGTCTGGTCTTCCTACTTTGTCAGAATATGTCAGAATATATGCTAGAAGAACAACAAACATGCACATCATGCACACTCATTATGAGTTTGCTGCATTGGTGCATGGGTAGGCGGGTGAGTCTGTTGTTGTTTCCGGGACTGGACGACCCGGCAAGCAACTGCCAGCTACGCAGGTCGCCTGCAAGTGCTTCAGCAGCAGCTGGACGTCTGAGTAGATTCGTTTCGACACCTCCAACGTGTTGGCTGAAAGGCGCAATGGAGAATCTTCCAAGATACTGTACCAACAAAGTGCACATGTCGGATCATTCCTGTTTGATGATAGAGTAGAAGCCTGCTTGGAAGCCCACTATTTGAATAGACTATTAATTGACTTAATGTGGATAATCTTAACCCCTTTCAAAAGGTCGCAGTGCCTTGAACACTAGATCCACCACGGTATCAGGTCACACGCGCGACGAGTTTGGCACTTCCTACATCGTCCTACATCTGGTGCTAACCATACGCTTCACACACCCTTACTACTTACTACAGTCTTGCTCCAGAAAGCATATGTAGGGGGTGTTTTCAGGAGGGCCTTTCCCACCTCATCACCTGGTCTTGCATCTTGACCCGTCTGGTCTCGTAAGCCCGCAGCTCGGCACCTCGTTGTGTTGCTTGATCACGCACTCGAAGCTGACGATGATGTCCTGCTCCAACCTCACCGCCAAATGGTCGTCACGCACCGCCGCTAGGGCCCATACTGCACGCCAGACTTGCAGTTACCCAGACATTGGCACGCCAACAGTATGAGATGGTTTTGACACCTGTACATCAATGTGTGACGTGTCCTGAAGGCTGTTTTTTTGCAGGCACAAATACCATACCCTCTCGTCCCCTCTCAACCAGCTCCTTTGCCGAGTTCCTTTCCGTCCGAGCCATGCCCATGCACCGGTTGTGTCGTGCGCCCAGCCGCTCGTCGGCCAGGGCGATGGATTGCTCTCCCCGATTCCGGAAGTTCACCTCGGAGGATGCCGCCCTTCTTCATACCAGGATCAGGGTGAACGGGTCGGAGAGAACATGATCCCCGTTCTACAGTATGGTCACTGTAAGGGTGTGCCTGGTTTAAAACCAGGTAGTCAACCCCTGAGCGGCAGCAAATTCGGGGATGCCAACAAGGGTACATTTGTGAAAGAAAGTGGGTTCCCAGAAAATCCCGTCTGTGAATGATGTCTAACTAGGCTCAACCTTGCCATCCCCCAAAATAGAACTGAGGACTTTGAACCCAACAACTTATGCATTCTAGTGAACCTTCCTGAGCACCCCTAGAGTTGAATGATGTGTTTTGTTTGTTTGTTTGTTCGTTCGTTCGTTCGTTTGTTTGTTTGTTTGTTGAACACTTCTGCAGAACATGTCAAGCTGAAGCGGCGGGGGCGACCTTTCAAAGCAAAGCAAAAAGAACGGACAAACTGGTTGAAAAGGCGTAGGGCCAACGTTCCAGCCCCTTGTCAGGTGCAAAAGCCTCAATGAATATGTATCTCCAGCAGCGTGCGCAAACTTGAGGCCACAAAGAATTTTTAGAAACTAAACAAACCAAAGAAACACAAACAGTGCATGAACAACCGGGCAGTCTAAAGGTTTCAAATCTATCATATATAACATAGTAGGGCTATTTGTTAACGTTTTTTAGGCCTGCATTGACTCGGCATTCTTCCTCCAAACAATTGAGGCTGTACACCGTAGAAGGTCTAGAAGAAAAGCTCGTTGGTTTTGACCGTCCCTCTGCGGCACGGCGGTGGCAGGATTGATAAGGACAGCTTCATGCCGGGATTCATGCCACCTTCAATGGTTTTTTCCTTCGGACTTGGTCTTGAGCTTGTCGTGTGAGAGCTCGCGAACAGCCTCATATGCTAGGTCTTTTCAGACCACGGAGATGCTTGTCGTGTCGCCACTGAACAAGTGCAGCCCTCCGAGCGAGGAACAGCGGTCCATGGTGAGGGTCTCCGTCCGTTGCGCTGCGCTGGAGTGTGGAGCGTTTGGATCCGCCACGGCTCCCAGCCAATGGCCAAGCGGGGTAGCAAGATGTAGACGGCACATCTTGAAACCGAATGACTGGAGTCATGGTGCTGGAACTAGATATTCTTTCATATACTTATGTTATGATAATCATCGGCTCATCCTTTTGGCTTTTTCGGTGGAACATCTGCCAAAGCTGCGTTGCTTGAGGGCCACGCAGGTTAAACCTCCTAGTGCGGTCCAGGCACGATCATCGCCTCCCGAGCGGCATGCAACGAGTTTCCTGAAGAGTGCCGGTGCTGTGCTGTGCGCGAAACACGGACCGCACCGGTACTTGTCACATCCGGTTCCACTGGAAGGATTGAATCGACATGTTCCATCATTTTCCACTATCATGTACCATCCACTACCTACATATATATATATATAATATACCTGGACCATCCATTGGGTCTCCAATGGGTCTTTTCGCTACCCTACACTGGGTCTCCATGAAAATCTCAATTGGACCACCCATTGGGATGATCCTGGTCTATGATCCTGGTCTGCCTGTTCTTTGCAACCAAACCTGTTCTTTGCAAGCCACAACGTTTGATGATCTTGACTGAAGACCGACGATGGCACGGAGCCTGGGAACGCACACGGGTTCCAAAGCAAAGCACTACACTGAGACAACAGGTGACCTTCGTAAGAGCTACCTGTCCTTGCAAATCTTCCCCCTCGAAGAAAGCTCCTCCGCCTACCCTCCTGCTGACAACCTGCTGGAAGACCTGAAAAGTAGGTGCAGGAGCTGCATGACTTGCAAATCCCTTCTTCCTCCCCTGGATGCTTGATCTCTTTTGGGCTCCATTCAAGCTCCACTTCCCGAAGACGCCTTTTGTCCCTCCAACGCCCTCTGTCCTGGCTCTGGGTTGAAGGTCTCCCCAAGGCCCAGCAGGCTCTCGCCGTACTTCCGCTCCAAATCTGCACGCGCCTTCAGAACATCACACAGCTTCTGAAGCTGTCCTGCAGGCACCGCGGCACCGCGACCGGCGCCGCGATCCGATCGCGGCACCGAGGCGTCGCGACGGAGAAGGTTTTTTTCTCAGCGCATGGAAGCACCTCTATGATGGAACTCAAAGGGAACATAGGGAACTGCAATTCATCAGCAATTTCTCTACACATGACCCACTGTAAATTAGTCGCTTGGTCATAATAGTCCCCTGTCCGAAAGATGCTCTCAAGATCCTTTGCCAATTGTCGGGCCATCTGCCTATATTAGTTTTACAAACAAGAATGAAGCCGGGAAACATGTTCCGACTGTCCTGGTTGGTGGTTTCAACTCACTTGAAACATGTTCAACGGGTTCAATCATCCCCATATATCCCAATGTAAAAGTAGAAAAGTTGAAGTCTCTGAAACCACATGTCATGTCTCCACCCAGCGAGGGTCCCATGACATCCAACAAATACCACGGTGGAGTGTGCTACCGACCAAGCCATGTAACGACTAATCCATGCTACCGACCGACCCTTTGCTTCCAATCCGCAAGGCCTTGAGATGGTTCAACCCTTTGCTTCCACACAAAGTCAAACCTCAGCGACACTGTCAGTGGCTGATGCCCACATGCAAGGGAATGCCAATTGAGGTTTTCCATGGTGTTCCTAAATCTTCAAAAACATGTGTCCGAAGCTTTGCCGGCGACTGATTTGCTTTGCGTTGGATCCATCTTTGATGGACAGCGACAATGTACATAATAATGGTCAACATCGTACCACGATGTCCCCATGAAAGTCTTCGTGTGCGACCGTTCTCAGTGCTCGATCGCTCCAATCGAAGCGCGCAAAGGCCTCCGTCGCCCGTTTGGGCATCCCGACCGGTCCCAAAGGGCCTTCTGGAAGGTCAGCGGACCCTCCACCACCTCGACGGACCACATGGTCTGTGTAACACATGGTCCGTGCTGCGGTCAAATGACTTGATCTGGTGGCCATGTACTACTTAGATCCAGGTGGCCGGCCCCTGTCAAGGGTTTACCACCGGAAAAACACGATCCCTGGCCTCGACATTTGTGCTTTCTGCAGCCGGGCTCCCACCCACCTGGCTCCAGCGAAACGATCCATTTCGGGCCACTGGGGCGACTTGGGCCTGTTGCCCCGGTGTCGCCATTGGCTTTCTCGAAGAACAAGTCTCCACTGTGCTTGTCTCCAAACGAGTGTGTCTATCATGGGTCTCGATGATGAGCACGCACAGTGGTCGTATGGCAAAGGACATATCGACGCTCGAACCATTTCGGGAAATGAACCCAATTCAATTAGAAGGTTCTGCTGGTACACAACTCAACAGAGTTAGAATAACTCAGAATAACAGTTTATTAATATAGTCATTTGATGGTTTTTGTGTATCTTCATGTGACTCGAGATGCATCTATTCCATGTGAAGCCGGGAAGTCCCTTCCGCCTTCTTCCATGGCCATTCCGCCCCAGAGGTCAACTCCGGGGCAGGGACAAGACGCTCCTGCCGCTCCGAGCAGTAGAATGGTGCTGGACAAACTGTCCAAACATTCTTGGCTTCAAAAGAACATGTCTCCCTGCGGCAAATGTCTGGAACGACATTAATATGTGTCTTCGTTCATATCTAAACATGTATGAAGTAGGAAGGATCCCGCAACTGTCTCCCACAGTGCAAGGTCAAACGACTTGTGTTCCACAAAATGAACCAAAATGATCCCATCGAAGTGTCCTTCAAGGCCTGGAGGCCTCTTTGGTGTCAAGCCCCCGCCTGCGGCAGGGATGTGGTCGTCTCCTCTTTGGGATCAACCTTTTCAACCGGCACCTGAGCGTGGCAATCAATTGGTCCACTCCCAGCCATTGAGTTGAAGTAGCAATGATAAACTAAACTATTTGGATTGCCTTCTCAAATAAGGATCTTTTCGTTGGTGGCCACTGATGGATGGCGCAACTCTAAGTCGTCAACTCCCCTCCTGCATCCCACTTCACAGGACATCTTTGGCTTCCTTCATGCACGGGATGCTGAGCTGCGGACAATTTACCTATCACCCCAGTCACCCCTCAGCAGCTAGATCCATTAAATGCCATGGACTCCTGTTAAGATAGCCTTCTCAGGAACTCCGTTCTACAAAGCCCGGACCTGTCTGAGCATTGGAAAACTGAGGCGCACACCGCGGGCTCTTCTGCCATCTTCACACAAGCCGACGATTGGTGGAAAGCAAGCAAAAACCAGGTGCAGGTGTGGCTGGGCTGAGGGTGTTTGAGGGTACCCCACCAAAGATCCAGGTAATCTTGTCAAGGTACTTTGTGCGTGCAACTGCGTACTTCTTCTAGAAAAAGGGGACAAACCAATGGACTGCATTGCTTGTGTGTCGAAGTGTTTCCTGTTGCAACCTGATTGCATGCACATTGCTGGCTGTCCAATGGTAGCTCTGCTCTTATATAATCATATCGAAACAATGATACGGATTTCGCTTGAACGAGCACACACTTGAATTTGATCGATGGAACGTGACTCTAGCTGTCCTCCTGCTTCCAATCTCACTGGTTCACGCGGTTTATTTGCAATGGTGTAAAGTGTAAGCCTCTCGGTCTTGAGCAAAATGAAAATGGGCAGAGCCGCCAGCGACTGGTGCATGCCAAAACGCAAAAAAAACAAACATGAGCTGCGAACATCCTCGCACGGGTGGGAGAGTGCAAGGACTATGACCAATAATGAAATCAATAAGTTGATAATAGTAGACCCTGGCCAGTTCGCTCGTACTTGACAGCCTGCATCCTACTTGGATAATCATCGAAGCCTCATCGAAGCCAACATTAAAAGGCAAACAACTCATTGCCGATTGGAGTGTGTACTGAAAGGAAATTGACTCAACCATGGCCTATATGATAATATATATATATATTATTATATTATATTGTATCATATGGGTGTTGTCCTTTATTCAGTTGCAGGGCATAAGGCTGAAAAGCCCTTGCGCTCGCCCTTGCGCCTTCTTGCGCCTATGAGGGTTTTTGCATGTTTTGACTGTTCTATTTGTTTTAATATTAGCAAGAAAACGTGGCGCGCCCGACCTGGAAATGAGAAAAGTAGTAGTAGTAGTAGCAGTAGCAGTAGTAGTAGGAGCAGGAGGAAGAGTAGGAGTAGGAGTAGTAGTAGTAGTAGTCGTCGTCGTAGTAGTAGTCGTAGTAGTAGTAGTAGTGATAGTAGTAGTAGTAGTAGTAGTAGTAGTAGTAGTAGTAGTGGTAGTAGTAGTAGTAGTGGTAGTGGTAGTGGTAGTGGTAGTCGTAGTAGTAGTAGTAGAAGTAGCAGTAGTAGTAGTAGTATTGGTACTACTAGTAGTAGTACTAGTAGTGATATTAGTAGCGGTAGCAGCAGCAGTAGCGGTAGTAGTAGCAGCAGCAGCAGCAGTAGTAGTAGTCCTAGTAGTAGTGGTTGAGGTTGTAGTAGTAGTTGTAGTAGTATTAGTGGTAGTAGTCGTAATAGTACTAGTAGTATTCGTAGTGGTGGTAGTAGTAGTAGTAGGAGTAGGAGTGGGAGTGGGAGTAGTAGTAGTAGCAGTAGTAGTAGTATTGCTACTAGTAGTAGTAGTAGTCGTAGTCGTAGTAGTAGTAGTAGTAGTAGTAGTAATAGTACTAGTACTGATACTAGTAGCAGTAGCAGCAGCAGAAGAAGTAGCGGTAGTAGTTGTAGCTGCAGCAGTAGTAGTACTAGTAGTAGCGTTAGTAGTAGTAGTAGTAGTAGTAGTAGTAGTAGTAGTAGTAGTTGTAGTAGTAGTAGTAGTAAGAGGAGTAGTAGTAGCAGCAGTAGTAGTAGTGGTAGAAGTAGAAGTAGTAGTAGTGGTAGTAGTACTAGTAGTAGTAGTCGTCGTCGTGGTGGTAGTAGTAGTAGTAGTGGTACTGTAGTGCAACCCAGTGGTACAAACCTTCAGCTTGACGCAAACCCTATCGTTTTTTCTACTTTTTTGCGCTCCGAAGTCATTTCCTCAATGAGAACCATGTTGGTAGTGGTAGTCGTCGTCGTCGTAGTAGTGGTAGTAGTACTGCCTCTTGCTCCTTCTTTCCTTTTCCTCTGGTTCTTCATTTTCCTTTTCCTTATTCTCTAGTAGTAGTAGTAGTAGTAGTAGTAGTAGTAGTAGTAGTAGTAGTA